TATCGTTATGATATCCAATATGTCAGTTAGTTTAGTATGTGATATATTTCTAAAAAAAAAGGTAAATACTTCTGAAATGTTTAAAATTATATGTTAAGTCTTTTGTCAGAATATTGCTAAATATTCTATGTAATTGTAGTTTAAAGGGCATACCTATCTTACAAATGTTATTAGCTTATTTTAAAATATTATTGAAAATAGTTTATAAGAGTTATTTCTTGCAATATTTAATACTGGGATTCAATTTTTACAAAATAAGATCATTACTAAAACTATTAACACATGTGACATTTAAGAGTATGTTCAGACAACTATTTATTTTTTTTTAATGTTCAGTTTTTATCTATGTACTATTCATTATAGACAACATATTATTATTTATAGTATTGTATTGGAATATAAGTATATAAAAAAAATATAATACTATGGACAGTCACTTGGTAGTGGGGTAATAAAGTTTGCGTGGTATAGTAATGAGGCAATAAAAATTGATAAGTACCATTAATATTTAACACTTTATATTTAAATATTATAATATTTTTATAATTTAAAAATTATAATATAAAGATTGAGTTGTATCTAAAACAGTTTTTAAAATAAAGATAATCTAGAAAATATGTTTAATTTATTTTTAGTTGCTTTAAATTTTATTTATATTAAGTGGAAAAGTAGTTGAAATTAATATTATAGATGTAAAATTTAACTTTTGATTGCTCTTAAAATAATATTTAAAAATATATAATCAATTTATAAGTGAAAAAGATTTTCCTGATTTTTTAACTGACTTATGAGTTATAATAATTACGTATTTTTTATCTATAGTATCAATATTGTTAAAGGTGCTTTATTTGCTTGAGGTATATATTAATCATAAATCATAATTAAGTATACATGGGTTTGAATTACTATAATATTATATATGGTTTAATCAATTTATTATTAATTACATATATTAATAAAAAAATCTTTATTTATGTTTATTTTATAACATTTTTGCAATTTGTTTTTTGCTTAAATATGTGTATTATATTTTCAGCGGTTAATGCCCGTTGATGCAGGTTCTGATTTATTCATATATAAGCCTCCTGATGTACCCACAAATAAAATGTACAATGTACGACCATATACTTTTGAAGATGAGTCAGCTGTATATAACATTTGTCGATGTACTTGTTATACAAGTGTTGATGATCATACTATAAATAAATCTGATCTACCTGACTTAATACCGGACAGGTAATGTTTTATTTAATGATATAAAATTAATTTATTTTTAAAATACATTTTTTTTTCCAGACTTGTTGGTTCGTATTTGACACTTAGTCCAGAACTTTGTTTTGTCGTTGAAGATAATGGAACTGTTATAGGTTATGCATTAGCTGCCTTAAATGCAAAAGAATTTTATCAAAAATTACAAGTTTCATGGTTACCTGAAATGTGTACTAAATACCCATTAGATAATTCCAATGAAGAAATACAGTCTGCTTCGCAGGTGAGTTATCATAAAACATATGAATTCTATACATTAAGTCTTTACCTAAAGTGATAGAATCAAATTGTAGATTAATATAGGTATTCATGCATTTTGTTATTAGTTCTGTATTTTAAATACTTTTTTAATGTTCTATATTGTAATTTTTAAATACAATTAATGTTCAAAATAGAAAATCTACTTTGATGTACTTCATAAATAAAAAGGTGGGCAAGTGAGTAAAGCTATTGTACATTAGGTGTTGAGTAGTGACTATGGGTGTTTATTATATTATTTATTCAATTATAATCATTTTATACGAAGTATGATTTTAAGCAGGGATGGTTTGTTGCCTTATATCATTAAGTATATTTTGTGATAAACTTTTTTTTTTTGTGGCTGTTAAAGTCATTTATTTATTTGAGTTTTGGTATTAATGTAGAATCACAATATTATCATATAACAAAATTTACAATTTAAATATTTGTTACTATTTTTTTTTTTTAAATATAGGGTGTTTCATTAAGAATGCTGGATTTAATTTCGTTATTACTTTATTAATATTAAATATTAAGAACAAAAAAATTATATAAGCATGAAGTATACACACTCTGATTTATGTATGGAATATAATATCTAGCATATATCCACCTCTGTTTCGCTGGCAAGCTTCAGTTCTGGCCACAAAATTGCCTATCACACGCTGACACATATCCTGGTTTAGTTCACCAATAACACGACGAATTTCATCCTTAAGTTCTTCAATGGTTTGCGGTTTATTTTCATAGACGTGATCTTAAACGTAACCCCAAAGAAAGAAGTTCAGTGGGGTTAAGTCACATGACCTGGGAGGCTATTACGGAACGCCAAATCCGGTGTTCTTAATAAAATACCCAACGCCGGATTTAAATTGCCCAGTAATTTTTAGGTCATGTGACTTAAGAACTTGAGGATGAAATTCGTCGTGTTATTGGTGAACTAAACCAGGATATGTGTCAGTGTGTGATAGGCAATTTTGTGGCCAGAACTGAAGCTTGCCAGCAAAGCAGAGGTGGACATATGCTAGATATTATATTCCATACATAAATCGGAGTGTGTATACTTCATGCTCATATAATTTTTTTGTTCTTAATATTTAATATTAATGAAGTAATAACGAAATTAAATTCGGCGTTCTTAATGAAACACCCTATACAACTAAATTTTAAAAAATGTTAAAGAAGAAATAATTATTTTACAGACGAATTTCAAATTTATTAAAATTTGAACTAAAAGTTTATAAAAACGAATTTGTCTTTCCAGTAAAATGTTTTTATTCATAGGATTTTAACTTAAAAATGTTGTATTAGGTTTTTAAATCTTAGAAATAAAAACAAATTTTTTTATGAATTTCTAATTATAAAATAATTTGTTGATTTTTATAATTTTGTCAAAATTCCAACTTAAAACGTTTATAAAAAAATATTGTGACTAGATTTTTGATTTAGTTGAGAAATAAACAACTAATTAGAAGTTTTATTTTTAAATTTTCATACATTACTACACAGCAAATAATTTTTAATCAATATCTAGTGAAAAAAAAAAAAAACAAAAAAAAATGGAAAATGGAAAATTTCTCATGCTTATCAATTGTTCAAAAATATTTAAAATATTCAGAAAATTTTATTGGAAGTAGAAATTCATAATATATACATTTTGTGAAAATTTCAACTATCTATTTTTTTTCTACCATTTTAACTATTTCAATAGGTAACTGACATTAACACTATTGTAAAATCAGTATTTTCATCGGTCTTCTTAAAATCTAAAAATAAAAGGCTTTTATACATTTTTATATTAATAAACTAACTTTTGAAATAGCTAATGAATACTTACTAATACATTTTATTTTTATTTAAAATTACAACTTAAACTTCTTATCACTATTGTTAAGTTAATATTATGTATATTTAGAGTAGTATTTATGTCTTTATTACAATAATTATTTACTATTTAAAATTTTTTTTCATATAATATATAACTGGTTAAATTTTATAGTTGTTGTTATTATATGTGAAACTTTTAAATTCTATTATTATATGTTTATATTTTATATTGTGTTTAGGAAATTATAAATTGGTTTCATTCATTTGATGTAAATAAAGAATTGCCAGATTCTAATGCTTTGTCTCAACATCAATCAGTTATGACTTATGCAACATTGCCTGTGAATAACGATGCATCAGTATCCAAACGATTAATTATTTGTCTTCTAGCAGCATTAAGGGCTAATGGTATTAATTTTACAATTTATGATAGTTTATTTATTTATAAAATTTATATATTTGGTTTATTTTATTTGTAAATTCTTTTATAGGTTCATTTGGCGTCCATGTACCCTTAAGAACAAAAGATCAACAAACATTGGAATTTTACACAAAAATGGGATTTATGGAAATTTTGCAAGGATCTAATCTAAACCCCGGATATACATATTTAGGACGTGTTTTTTGAAAATTCTTCCATGTTGCCTACTAATAAATATTTAATATATGAATAAAAATGCATATGTGGTGATAACATTATAGTAATAACTTTAATTTATTGATATTGAATACATTATTATATTTGTTATTACTTTTTTTGGTTTATACTTATACATAAAATAGTCCAGTTTAGGTTGCCCAAGTTTTTAAAGAAAATTTAATTTTCATATGCTTTAATATTTTTTTTATTATTTCATATTGATTTGTAAGTGTTAACATAGCATAATTGATCATTTTATAAATTGTCTCATTTTTTCATTATTTAATATTTTAGTCATTTTAAGATCTATTACATTTTGTATGTTGTTTTGTATGAAAATAAAATAAAAAAAAATTTTTTTTTTGTATGTGTCAACAATTTAAAAGAATTTTATCTATTTTTCCTCGACATTTTAAGGATTTAATATTGTTTTGTTGTTTATATATAGTTAAGAAATTCATGTTTAGATATGATATTTTATTCATTTCAAGAATATATTTTTTATCTATACTATTTTCAATTGATTCCTACTTTGCTTCTTATTCTTTACTTATTAGTTATTTTCTTGTCATCTTTAATTTTTGCTGATGTCATTAATTTTGATTTGGTCATTAAAATCAACCTTATTATGATAAGTACTTACTATTTGTCACTTGACCAATTCAAAATAATGACATATATTTATTTTTTATATAAAAGAATAATAGTCCATGCTTATTAAATAGAATAAAAAATCTTGATAAAAATTCATCATTTATTATATCCATGTTTTAGTTGAAATTCTTGTCTCATATGTCTACTAGTATAATGTTGTAAGGCTTATATTTAAAAAGAAAAATACTGGCTATAAGTATGACATCTCCTAGTGTTTATCAATCACTCCGTCAAATTAATATTATATCTCGAATATTTGGTGTCATGCCATTGAAAATGGCACCAGGAGACCAGATAAGTGGTCCTATTTGTTTAATTTCTTCATATGATTACATATATTCAGTCATTTTACTTATTATAACCATTGTACATGGGATATTGGCTCCGTTCTATGTGTTGCGTGCGATTATGCCATATTTCCATCAACAATCACTGTTTTCAGTGGAATCAGATGTACAAAACCCTGCCACTGGTATTGAATCGGAGCTTGAAGAAGATGAAATCAGCGAAATGGCTACTGTCATGAAAATTCTTAATCCAATTATGATATCCTTGTCCAGTATTTGTAGCAGATTAGTTGCACTCACTTTTCTCCATCGCAGGTTAAGTGAATTTATTACTGTTTTACACAACACTGATAGACTGATGGATGTTACCATAAAATCAAATATTTCCACTGCAAGCAAAACCTTCATACAAACCCTTGACAAGTATCTGTTATGATATTTTGTCGTGTTTGGCATGCCAGTGAATATTTATTATTTATATACTGTGTCGGCTACAAATAGCAAGGCCGGTAACTTATGGTGTGTCATACTTGCTTTCAATAATCTGGCTTGTTTTAGCACAGACTTGCAGTTCATCCGTTGTGCATGCATGTTGCACTATCGTTTTAGAGTAATTAACAACGAGCTTGAAACATTTGCATCTATATGGCATTTCAAACGCGGGTTAGTAAATCACATTAATAGTTATATCTGATTTTTAAACTTTAATATTTCTATTAAGTTAATAGATAAGGATTATTTTTAGTATGAAATATGTATTTATTAATTGTATTATGTACAAAAAATAATAATAATAATAATAATAATAATAAACATTTGAAGTTAACCGTGAATTATTTAAATTTTAAACTAAATACCTTGGTGAATATCTATATTATCACCTCTTGATTAATTTTAAATTAGAAGATAATTTTATATTTATCACAATTACCGGAAAAAGTAAAGTTAATTAACTATATCTGCACATCATAAAGGTATAGTATGTACTCTCGGGCGCAGACTGACTAACCTTATCCCTTGCCCTAAAATATATTTGCCCCTATAGATAGAAATGTGCCTTAATGTATTTACTATACAACTGTAGAACTTTAGGAAATATAGGTATTATTTTTTCTATAATATTATACAATTTTGATTGAATGTTTGTCGTTACTTGGTACCTACCTACCTATTTACGTTTTAAACATGTTTTCAATATTTTTATAACAAAAATAAACTATTTACATATTTAAAATTTGTCAAAAAACATTTTGTTATTTGTTCTTTAAATCATTTAGCATCCTGTGCCGTTTTTTTACCAGTCCGCACCCCTGGGTTATTTACTCTATTCACAATTCACTAGGTACCTATCGAACGTATAGTTGAATTATCATGTACCTATAATAGGTACATGATAATATAATGTTATATTATTATATATATTATTTTTTTACCATAATAGTAACAGTTAAGAATAAAAAATTTTTTCAGAGCTTTGGTTGAAAGAAAAACTTGCAAATCGTTTTTATGTGAACTGTCATACGGCCACAACATATGTGATTCTATTGAAATGTATAGGTAAGTTGGAAGTATATTAAGGCATTATGTCTGATAAATGCATTACATTTATTTGTAATATTTGTTAAATACTTACCTGATTAAATTACGAGTATAATTATAGGTACTTTATTAAAATATTTTATAAATATCTGATATTGTGTATTTACCTACCTAACATTTCAACTATGATATTTTCTATTAGATATATAGCTAAACCTATTTTCTCTGTTTAACTAGCATCTTAAACTTTGAAGTATCTGAAAATATTTTATAGTATTTATAGAATAGTATCCCAAAAATGTTGAATATTATTATCTTTTTCAATTTCAACTTCCTTTTTACAACTAAACTATAAGCAATTTTTCGAATCTCTTTTGAGACATTTAGTTTGAAGTCTGGTTTTTACCAATTATAAACCTGAGGTATTAACTACTTTTAAAACTGATGTCAATTTTTAGTTATTTTTCAAAATTAGTTAAATTAGATACACATTCATTGTAGTATGAGTTTTTAAATATTATACAAACAATTTTTTTAATATCTACGTACTTACTAATACAATTAAAGCAATGTACGAAACAAAAGTAAGAATCTTAGTGGAACTGAGAAGAAAAAAAAAGAAGAAAGTCATATGTATAATTTTAAAATTCAAAAATGATTTAAGTACGAGTATGTGTAAATTCAAGTCGTGGAAAATGGAACCATAAGTTGTTACGTCATTTAGTTATTACAACTTACTATCATTTAAAATATCGTGTAAATTATTAATTATTATAAATATCCATAGAAAAAGTCAAAAATTTGTTGTATAAAGATCTATATAACGATAAAAGAGTTCATACCTTATACAATGAATAATTTATCTATTTATATACACATGGGCATAGGGATGATGCAGCAGAGGAGGCATTTTCCCCTTCGCTTCAAACTAAATTCTATTTCTTATACCAAACATATAAGTTTTACTATAAAATCGAAAAAGAAAAAAAAAGGTTATAAACTCTCCCCCCCCTCCGATTAAAATCCTAGAAACAAACATCTAAACACCTATATTCGTATTTCTTATAGGAATTTAGATTGATTGATACTTATAATATTTGTTTTTCTTAGATATTGTTATGGACAATTTTGCAATTTGGTGGACCAATTAAATTCTACGTATCAATTGCATCTTTTGGGATGCCTTTCAGCGTGTTTTTTAAAAATATTGTTCAATCTGTATTTTTCTATGTTTGGATACGTCATTGGTACTAATGGTCAAAAAGAACATGATGAACTAATACGAGCTATCTTTTGGAATGTATATTATGGAATCAGATTCTTGACTTTAATTTATGTAGCCGATGCTACAAGCAAACAAGTAAGTCCGATTAGTCAATAAGATTTGAAAAATAATTGTAGTTATTCTATAAGGGTGCGAAAACAATTTACTAAGTACTAAAGTGCTCAGATATTGGTGGAAAAAATTTAAAGATTTTTAAGTTCAAACAAATTTTAATCTTTTACATTATAAGATTGAAAAATTAATATACTCATTCTTCAAGTTTTTTTACTGAGCATATTTTTTTTTAAATCAATAAGTATTCATATCAAAAAAAAATTCAAAAGTTTCAAATGCCTATAAACAGTTAAAATTTAGCCTAAAGATTTTGAAAATATTAACAATAGAAAATCATAATTTTGTTAATAATAGAACTTTCAAGTTTCTGTGATGATTTATATTTTTCAAAATAAAACAAAATATTTAAAGTTATTTTATAGGAAATGCGTTACGTGAAATATCCAATGTTGTCAACATTTTAACTCATAAAAAATAATTGTTCAATAATATTCAAATTTTTATAATTTTTGTAAAGAAAATTTATGAACAACATTTTATATTATTACTTTCTGAAACAACTTACGAGGAACCTATTATCAAGTTTTCAAGATATTTTTTACTCACAAACCAAATCTCATAATCAATTGAAAAAAGTAAAATATTTTAAATAGGTAACCTACACATGTATATTGTATATTATTCGATTTTATAATGTCCATTTATCTTTAGTAAATGGTATATATAAACATTTAAAATTTCTACAATTTTTTATTCTTGAATTATCAAAATATATAAATCTGATTTTTTGAAAACCATTTTTGCTTTTAAGTAAAAATTCATGTTTTCCCTACTTTTTTCTAACTATTGAGAACTTAGAAGTACTTACTAGTAATTATAAATTTTAACCTCTCAAAAGTTTCAGCTAGAACCAATTTTATATTAAAAACCATTTCCAAAGTATTTTGAAGATTGAAAAACTATTTTTACAATAAAACGTACACATATCATTGCGAAATCAATACATTTTATTTGCTTTGATTATTTATCATTATAATTTATAATTTAAAATGTGATCATTCTCCAATGTCTATGATTTATTTTTTTTAGATTTTTAATATTATTTATTAAATATATTTTTAATTATTGTTATATATATTGACCATATAGCATATGAAATAAATTGTACTTTAATAGTACCTTGATCATATATATTATTTATGCCTAATAGACTGTAGGTAACTGTCATAATAAAATGTAATCATTAAAATAGAACCTTAAAATCGATCAGTAGGTACACACTATAATTTTGTGTTAGACATAAGTAGGTACTTATAAAGAAATGTATAAAAGTTAGTAAAAATATAGGTAGATAGTGCAGTTAAACGAGTTTGTTTATTTTAATGAGTAGACAAAATAAGTAGCACACACAATGGTTATTAGAATTGTTATTTATTTTCATTCTAAAAACATTTTGTTTATAAAAATGTATTTATAGGTAAATAACTTTAAATATAACAGTCGCTATTGTGTCGAGAATTAAGTATCTAGGTATGTTGTATGAACTTTATATGAAGTTAGAAGTAATAGTAATGTATAATAGCTATTAGCTATAGATGGATGAGGCGTGACTATGGTTGCGGTTTTTTAATGTGCGCAACATAAAATATATATTTCCGATAAATGTCAAATTATTTTTTCCATCGTAATAATAACGTTTAATTTAATCAGTGCACCGTTAGTCATCATGCAGTACCTACATAGTAGGCGACTGGTCTTGTGTGTTGTCGACATCGTTGATGGTATTGTAGTCCAGGGTATAGTGGCCGTCGCTTCTTTTATATTTAGAGAGGTTGTATTGTACAACGCACAATTTAACATGTATCAAAAAATAGGGAGACGATGATGGAAAGTTTTGATATCTAGTCGCTAATGACCGCCGCTGTTTGAAGCCAGTACAAATTTTATTTTCCCGCGAGCATATTACTATGTCTGACTTTCATACTGCCAACGAATTTTATTAAACTATAACCTGTACTACAAACACCCCGATGGATCCTTGTTGGCTACACATTTCTTTTTTTTTACTTACAAAATTTCAATATGTATATGATCGAAAACGACTTCGTCAGTTAGTGTATTTTAGTCTATGTGACGTTCCGAGATATTAACGACGATATAAATCAGTTGAAAATGAAATAGGTACCTACATTGACCGGAGCAGATTTTTGTTCTCCGAGAAAGCTGCACATGACCTGTAGCCAAATGTGTCGTCATCGTGTGACATTGTTTACGATCCAGGGGATGAAGCATATCCATTTACTAACACACTAGAGATTTTAAAAATCAAATATTGGTAAACCCGCGAAGATGTTATCGAAATGAACTTTTTTTTCGGAAATCACTTGAACTGTCGATATTCAATTTGAGTGTTCTTGTTTTGTTGGATTTATATATTGACGTGTTCTATTCCTTTACTTATAATTTGAATGCAAAATAATTAAAGAAAAATCGGGGTTTTAGAACATAAAATTATATAAAACTTGATTGTTATTACAAGGAAATAAAACCCAATATTTTATTACATTATACACATTATAGCTATGATAAAAAAATAATTTCGAATCAATATAGTATTATTATACTAGTATATTACACCAATACCTATTATCCTATTAACTCTATAGGTTATCTTATTAGAAAATTACTACCTACTTTAATATATATTTAAACCATATAATTTATGAATTAATTATTTCTTTTTTAGGCGGTTTATGCAAAAACATTAATAAGTGATGTAAACAATAGGTATTTAGATACTAGTACACAAGAAGAGGTGAGCGTATATAATGAAATAATAGCATTTTATTTTTACTCATTATTGATTTTTATTAATGACTTCTGATTAACTTACTAGCTTCAATTATTCTACACTCAAATATCTAGTCGTTGCATCCAGTTCACTGCTTGTGATTTTTTCACTTTGAATACCCGTCTAATCACGTCAGTAAGTATACTTTTAAGTTTTGATTTATATTATAAATAATTAATGTGTTGTAAAATTATTTGTTTTTTTTTTATATATATATAGGCTATTGCTGCTGGTGCAACATATCTAGTCATACTAGTGCAATTTCATTCTGGCAAAAATTGAATTTTTTAGCATTTTACCTAATTAATTAAGAGTTAAATCTAAACACGTTTGATTTATGTAGAAGAACATAATGTAATTAATAAATTAAACATTATAAACTATAGATTATAAATTATAATTAATAGACAATATATATTTATAAACACAATACAGGAAAGATATTATTTTATTAGAATCAACTTCAAAGTATTTGATTCTTTAATCACCTATTTGATCACAGATAAAAAATGATCAACTGTTTGGTGATAATTGATATAGGTATAAAGTAATAGGTAATAGAGGATTTTTGCATACGCAAGTAATAGGTAATAATTAAAAAATAAAATTTGAATTATGGTGTATTTATATAACTATGTTCCTGGTATTAATAACATTAAAACTAAATCTTTTCCTGAAGAAAATGAAAAGAATATGCAATGTGTGAGACGGTGCATTTTAAATTTGATGATAAAAAAAAAAAAAAAAAAATTAAAAAATAACGGTTTTCAAACGCGTTAGGTGTGTAACTTCCAAAATTATAGAGTGATGGAAAATTTATAGATTGATAATAAATGAAAAATTGAAATATTTTTAAATAGGTAACTACTTATTTTAAATTAATAAAATATTTTTATTCATTAAAATCTACAGCATTATCCAAATCTAAAAATGAGATAATGAACTATGATGACTAAAGTATAATACATATAAGTTCCAGATTAGAGGTTATTTAAATATAAAAATATTGTGTCCATATTATAGCTGTTTCTTCCCTTGGTATTGATCTTTCTAACAATAATTGATTATTCAGTTTAAATTTCAATGTTTTTCTTTCGAGAAATAATAAATGTTTGTGCTCTTTAGTGTAGTTTTTATGTTTTTTAATGTTGCTTAAGCTTCAATTGACATTTTATCCCAATTTTAATTCCGAATAAAACTACAGAAGTATATTTGTATATAAAATCAACGATTTTTTAATTTTTATATTTGGTGATATATATACAACACACAACCTCAACAGGAATTGTTTGATCACTTTTCACAGTACATGTAAATTGGGCATCGTTCACAGACATTCATATTGTGTTTTGACATAAAATTAATCTGAATATAGTGACAGTAGTATTCTACTATTAATGGAATTATGAAACATTGCAACTCCGTCAGCTTTCATGTCAAAATTTAATTATGTAATCAAAGTCAAGCGCATATCTCATATTTCCTCATTTTGTACCTGCACTTCAGTGATATTAAACCAGCCGTATGAAAGTTTAAACGTTGACAGTTTAATGAATAAACTGACAGTTTTAAAATTTTTGAAAGTGAGTCTACGAAACTTGCAGCTTGCAATGTTATCACGGAACTTGATCTTTTTTGTCCATGATAAAAAATGTTCTCTTCATTAATACTTAAAGCAGAGGTTTCCAAATTATGGATCGCGGTCATAATAGTAATACATTTTTTTAGACACGTGTTACTTTTTTCTCAAATAACTCCAATAATTAAAAATAAAAGGTCATTGATTTTTGTGGTTCGGCAAAATTTAAATAATTTCTAAAATGAGTCGCGTTGTACAAAATTTGGGAACCCCTGACCTAGAGCTGTATAAAATCAATTTATACTTTAGACTCTCGATAGGTAATGTCGCAGATAACAATTGCCGCAAATGAATTTTTGCATATTTGACCATGTAGAAGATTCTTTCTTGTGCCTTATGTATAGTTAATTGGTAAATGTATATAGGTATTTATTATATACCAAAGGTTTTATTTAGCTGCAAAGGTTTTACTATTATTTAAGTAAATAGTTGACATTATTTGCAAAAAAGATTCTTTCCAACATTCTTTCTTATTGGTGGCGGTACTGTTATTATTTGCTTGGCTAATATTATAATATTGTTATTTATTTCCAAGTGCTAGCTTTTTTCCTAGTTTTTTTCTACAATTTTTTGGAAAGAGTTTGAGAATTTTAGCCCAATACCCGTAGCGTCACGCGTCACTTGATCAATCTCGTTAGATTTAACTAATTTAGTAATTTCATCATTACCAAATTAATTTATTACTTCCACGTTTATTATGGTCATACAAGTATATGTATTGTTACTAGTTTAAAATCTGTATAATTTAATATGGCAAAACAGTTTAATATGACACTAGGTATACATTTTGTTGGAAAAACGTTTTCTATTATACATTGTGACATGGTTAACCTAACCTAACCAATGCAATCACCTGTAGTCTCTGATATAATTTTTTATTTTCAGCTAAAATTAAAATAGTTGGAATTTGCACTAATTGAATAAGAAGACCGAAATAGTTTTATTCCACAAGGCACAAGTACCAATAGTCTTTAAAAGTTTTTTATTTTGTGGAAATTAGTGATTCTAGTAATTTTAACACATTATCATTTTTTTTTGCAATCCATTCTAAATTGTTGTCATTAAATTTGAAAGTATTCGGTTTGATTGTCCCGTATAACGAGTCTTATATTAATGCAGTCAAATAAAAAGATAATATGTACGTATAGGAGGTATATTCATACCATAAAGTGGGACCAGATATTTGGTGTTTAAAGAGCTAGCAAGTTTACAAAAAAATATAAATAATTCAGTTCTATGGCCAGTAAAAATAATTATGAAATAAGTAAAAGGAAAACAACATACGAGTACTATTGATACATATTACATATATACCTACTCGAAACTACACTAATATATTTTTGTAATAACGTCATGTAAACCCGCTGTGATCAGATAATAATATGTTATAGGTATAGCCTATAACCGAAATCGTTGCATTATTGTAAACACTGACATAACAACATCAACACGCTACACACGACATAAAAATCAAATTAATTATTAATAAAAGAAACAAAACATGAACCGAAGAGAAAATGTATATATAAAATAATGATTATACGACGCCTATAATGGTGAATTGGTGACTAGTGTCTATATACGCAGTATATTATGTTACTTCCACGTTATTAATACGTTATTATAATATATACTTCGTTCTTTTTTCTGCGTATTACTACGATCGTTTTTCAGAGCAAGAAAGAAAAGCGTTTTTCTTGAGAATAAATTATAAAGCAAAAAAAATAAAATAAAACGCGGAACAAAACTTACCATTACGCTCGTCAATTTAATTGTTGACGTATTTGAAGTGTTCACTCTGTACGAACGTTGTGAGGTCGAGTGTTTCGAGCGGTCAAAACCAAATTCATTTTTTATGGACACGATGTACGCAGTTTATTCTCGTGTTGTGTTCGTATTTTTGACAGCGGGGTTCGAGTTTCTCAACAATCGCGCCTCGCCGTGTTTGCACTCTGCACGATATTATTGTACACACAGGTATCATTATGATACTGCAGGCTGCGACGTCATCGCGTGCCAATACTGCAGACATCTAACGTAATGGATGTACGGTTTTTAACACGCGCGGGTAAAGTAATCGAAGTTGCTCGAGCAGGAGACGCGTTTCGCTGCAGTGCTCACCGAAGTATAACATAACATCGTACCTACTACCCATACGCGCGCATATACGTACGCATATAATATAGGTACGGGTCACGTACCCATCCACATACTGCACGCACTGCACCGCGCGCGCGAACCGCAGGCCCGTACGTTTCTCGCGGCATGTGGCCGATCCGAGTATTTTGGACGGTGTGCGGAGTGTTCACCGCCGACGTAGGGTACAACAGGTTCCAGTACGCGTACTCGGCGCTGCTGATGGCCACGTGCGTGTACAATTTCGTGAACGCGTCGCAGGTCATATGCAAACTGGACCACTGGTGCGTCACGTTCTCGTCGACGCTGACGGGCGTGTACGACAGGGTTTTGTCGTCCACGGCGTTCTTGTCCCGGATCGCGGTCGTGTACGATTGCGAGCCGAACATATCCCGGTACCTGGCCACCATCGGGGCGTTCGAGGCGTACTCGCCGCCGTCGGCCGCCGAACTGCGCCGGCACCGGGCGTTTTCGCTGACCGTGGTCGCCGCGTGCCTGGCCGCGATCGTGCCTAGCAACGCGATCAGCATGTACTACCTGTGCCGGTACGAGCCCAACACGGACGCGTCGTTTATCGTCTACCACCTGTTCATGTACGTCCAGAACCTGAGCATGTGCTGCATCGAGACGCAGTTCGCCGTGCAGTGTTTCAAGGCGTACACCAAGTTCCGCTGCGTCAACGACGATCTGAAGAGGCTGAAGGTCGAAAGCGCCAACGGCTCCGAGTACCCGTTCATGTCGGCCACCGCCGCGGGCTCGTCGCCGGCCACGCCTCCGGCACTGCTGCAGACATCACCGACATCGCCGCCGCCGCCGCCGTCCACCGTCGTTTACGACAAGGACTTCTATCATCGTTCGCGGTCAGCGAGTCAACCGATGGCCAACGCGATCGAGTTGCTGAGGATCAAGCACTGGCTCATCCGCCAGTCGATAGACGCGCTCAATAACCTGTTCGGCGTGCACATGGGACTGTCCGTGTTCTATCTGTGGCTGATGGCGCTGTTCGATATCTACTACGAGATGTTCTACAACTCTAGGTCGGAACTGCTGGTATACTGTTGGCTGTTGCAGTACGCGCTGAGACTGTTGATGATCATATTGATGGCGCACTTCACGACGAAACAGGTACCGCGCACGGCGATAGGTATAACATTCTGCAGCGCGTATACGATGTACGTACATATTATAATAATATCATATTATAACCTCTCTCTCCCTTTCGTTTCTTTTACGGTTTATGATGTGTGCACACGACTAGTAAATGCATTTTTACGACACAGACTTGTGATATTGTAATATGTATTTTTTTGTCATAGAGCTTAATACGCTTAAATAATAATATTATTGTGTGCACTGTGCAGGCTTTCGAGTCGAAATCGCTCATCACGGATATCAATAACGGAATAATGGATAGTAGTACCAAAGAAGAGGTAATATTATGACTATAAAGGTTAAACAACGCGTGTATTGGGGGGGGGGAGGAGGGGGCGACGTCTGATTAAATCTAAATAATAATAAAGAAGAAAATGTAAAAATTCGCAATAATTCGTATTTATATATTTGAGATTCCGAGCGGAGTGATGATTTTACAACGAAGTTTTTGTTTTTATTTTTATTTTTGTGTACGCATTAAATAGTTCAAAAACTTCGATATCCATTTTTGAGAGTGGTTTCTGGTAGAAAATTGGATCTTTCTAAGTAAAAGAGAAAGACGAACAAGTAATTAATGAAAACGAGAATTTTTATTTCTACAAAATCTATTTTTTTTTTTTTTTTAGCGTTATTTAAAAACAGTTTTCCGTAAATACTTGAAGTTTTTATCAAATCTTTGTGTGGTCATGCTTAAGATTTAATTCAAGGTTCTCTAATTAAAAAATATCAAAAATTTATACTCGCAATATTTTTTTTATAAGAATTTAAATTCAGAACTTTGATAAGATCTCAAAAATTACAAATTATTTTGTAATTAGAAATAATGTAAGAGATATTTTCTAATTTTTGAATTATTAATAGACATTTGAAATTTGAAGTTTTCATAGTTTTATTTCTATGATAAATGTCAAGATTTTTTTTCACTTATTCAAAAAACTTAAAAAATTAGTGGAAAATTCCAAATAAAATATTCTTAAAAGTATATGAAAATATTTTAAATAAATACACACATTTTTGTATTTCAATTTTTACTTTTAGTTACAGTTGTTCATAAATCAAATATGTAGTTCCTCAACAGAATTTAATGCTTACGATTTCTTCACGTTGAACACGCAAGTCATAAAATCGGTAAGTAAAAACTGTATAATATTTCTGGAATTTAAATATAAATATAATTTTAAAACAAGTCATTTAAATTTATTATTATACGTAGGAAAACAAATTGATAAATTAAATAAACATGCTAAAAACTAATATTGTGCGTACATTATGTATTAGCATATTAATTTAATTACAAATTACTGTTTCGTAGAAAATGTAATTATTTGTTTTGTAGGCTATTGCTGCTGGTGCTACATGTCTTGTTATTTTGGTACAATTTCACTCCGGGAAAAATGAATTAATTTAAATCAAGATATATACATATTTTACAGTCAAAAAATACACATGCAACAGAGTATAGTTCATACTTGGGTATTATATATTTAAATATTTAATCAATACTATAAAATCTTTTAATTTTGTTCCTACCTCTTTTTACTTATTAGTTATTTTGTATTTTCTACCACATTTAACTTTGATAAGAATATCAAAGTTTTGTGTTCCTTATATTTCTATATTCCTATTTTTTTTCCTCTAAATATTATTAATTTTAATTTTTTTGCTATATTAACATAATATTATATCAAGTTAGTACCTATTTTAAACTTAAAAATATGATTTATTTTTTAAACTCAAGTACTAGCTTAAAAGAGGTGTGCAAAAATTAATTATAACCTTCATTGAATGTTTGTGTTTTCTTTGTAATTTTTTTTTGCAATAAATAGATATTCAAGATGTAAAATTTATTTTTAAATTAATATTAATTACTTTATGTTTTTAGTTGCTAAATTTGTGGTAATAATAATTAATATGTAATAAATTAATAAACTAATGATATACAATAATTAATGGTTATATGATATGAACAATAATACATCTTAAAATTCGGATTTAGTCCATACGTACTTATATTGATGATATAGATTTCATATATTCAAAGATCTGTCCTCGTATAACATAATAATAAAATATTTTCATATATATATATATATATATATAAATATATTATGTCACGGCGTTACGCGCCTATTCGCCGAAAGATGGTTAAAAAGTTAGTACCAGTTATATTGAACTAATTCACACGTATGTTTAATTCATAATAATTGATAATTAACAGCACAGTTATCTATAGTAGATAATCGTGATTAATGTTTATCACATTAAATAATAAGATAAGTATAATACTCTACGAGTGTTCAGCCGTTTCATCCATAAATATATATATATATATATATATATATAATACAGTCGTGTACAAAGCCACAGATATGCAATAATGTGTAAATAGGTACATTATGTATATGTATTATGTATGTGTAACATGCATATGTATATAACCGAGTTACCGAGTTCAAGCTATGCTGTTTATCGTAGCGTGTCCAAAAGTTAAGCTCGGTTCAACTTACACGAGCGGATTATAACAACTAGTTCCATTGCTCTGCGTACCGCACACGCAAGCGTTCAATCGACTTTTTCCTCGTAGATTACCGGCGCACCGTTACCGTTTACCCGGGATATGCGATTTTGTACTTTTATCTTGTTTTCATCGAAACTACCTATGTCTTTTCCTGGGGGATATCCGTCGAGGAACTCTGGAAATAGTTTATAACAAATATCAGGTAATGAAGTACTTATCGTTATCATTATTCATTAATGTACAAAATGCGTACATATTATTATATTAATGTAATGTTTGATATTGGTTGCTATTTTACAGCAATAGTTCGTAGATCTGTAGTAAATTATAAACATTATACAATATTTAAATATTCAGCGACCCGTTTAGTAATAATATGCGATGCTGCATCAAAAATTTAAAACATATGTCTTAAGTTATAACAAATATTGTAATAAACTATATAATATAAAATATGTAAACACATATTTTAAATAATTCCAATAATACAACAGAACAGTGAACACATATAATAATTAAACTATAATGTTAAAAATTAAAATACGATTTTTTTTTATCATTTATTATTGCATTACTTTATTTTTATTTCAGCATAACCCACTAATCACTTTACTTTAGTCTTACACTCGTATTAGTGACTATTTATTATTTTTATAGTGCACAGCTACTTAAACGGTTGTCATTAACGTATGGTTATGTTATGTTTACAGTTCGAGACTTTGAGTATCTGCAAACTTTAAATGTGATTTTTGTTTAAAATTTAACCGATAAGTGGTTTAATTGTTATTTGTGTATATACAGTAGATCATAAATACTTTATATTACTATAACGTTCTACACATATTAATCTTTTTATCTTACTGCATATTTTAAATATTGTTACTATTGTTTGTTTAAAGAAAACAGTTTTATAAATATATGTGTGTACTTACTGATAATATTAACCCTTAATATTTTTGATAGGTAAGCAATGGTGATAAAGATGGTAGTGATAGATAAGTGTACATCCCGTCCTCGGAGGATTATATGTTTGTCAACATATACATTCCTCTTCCTCGACAAAATCCTAAATAGGTACATCACTCCTTATATCCGTATATCCCGTAAAATTTAATAATTGATTGTAATTTTACGATATATTATACGTATTAAGCTTATAATAGCATATATTGAATTTCGAAATGGGTGAATAAAAAAATATAGAATAATAATAATTTATAAACATTATATTGTAACGCGTACAATTACAATTTTTTTTTTTTTTTTTTTTAATATTTAACAATAATAATTATTGATTAATTAATTAGGGAATTATTCTCATGGATTAAATTATTCATAATTATTTACATTTAGCTAAAGTATTAAAGCTTTTGCTGTTTCTGTAAACTAATGGACTAATTTGTATGGTTTTATATGGTATGCGACGAATAATTGAAAGTAGAAAACCAGATCACATAAGATTATAAACTTCTATAAAAAAACATATGATTCATTCATAAACTCGGTAATAAATCTATGGACATATTATATGTATATAATATATTATATTATGATAACTATCATCTATGGTAAACGTCAGTCATCAACATTCGTTGGAGACGATTGACGATTTTAATAATTTCAAAAACAAATTATTATTGACGGAAAAAATTTCTTTAAACAGATTGATTTTGGTAAGTGACATTTTACTCACATAATGTTTCGTTCCGTTCAAATTATTTTTACACAATATCTCAATACTTCCAGTTCAAAGCGTAATGAAGATGGATGAAGAAAGTTGTTCTTTCGGTGGCAATAAACTATATACAGTAGAAGCCGCTTATTAGAAACACGGATAATTGATACAATCGTGTTATTGAAACAAAATGTCTCGGGACGGATCGGCCGTATATTAGAACATTGAAAATAAATCGGATTATTGACACATCACATCGGTTATTTGAAACAATTGGGAGAAGGTCAGTTGACATGTACACCGATTATCTAGCGATAACCAATGTACTTCAATTTTATCTTTGCTGTCGTTACGTTTATTTTTACTGTAATTTATCGCGAGAATGCTCTTTCTGTACGTACTGGTCGTACCGTTTGTAGTTTAGCTTCAGCGTGCGTATGTAAAGATTATTAGTGTTTCCTTTTTCTAAAAATCTAAAAATGTCTAAACGCTAAGATTTTAGCCAATTTTCATGCGACCATTCGTGGTTTGAAACTCATTTGACCGATTTGCTAGCCCAATACACACGCTCTGATATTTTCAATGCGGACGAGACTGGGCTTTATTTTGGAGCTCTACCTGAACACACATACGCACTCAAAATAAGTGACAAAGCTAAAGGGGCAATATTACTCGTAATTCGTATGAAAATATGGTCATGGAGTTACTCGACGTAAAAAAACAAATTACGAATGATAAATATTTTACATAATATCGTAAAATATACACAATTGTGCATACTTTTTTAAATTATACAATATAGGTACATACATACATACATATTTTTTTCGCGTACCTATTATTCATTTTTTTTTTCAATCGCTTATTAGAAACAATCGGTTAATTGACACAATTCACCTTGGTCCCAAAGTGTTTCTAATAAGCGGCTTTTACTGTATTTGGATTCTAAGTATGGCACAGCTAGGTTTTACTGAAATATTCCATATTTATGTAAGTTTATGCCCCTATTATTTTAGGGATCAAATTTATATTTTAAACTTAAATTATCTATTTCCACGGATAATCTGCTAGTGGCTGTATAATTTATTTATCAAATCTCTCGCGTCGTCGTGACTCGTGCCAACAGGCCGTAGAATAATTTTAAATATTAAAATGTACACATACCCTATGTATAATTAATTAACTACACTGCACATAAAATTCTTGATAGCTCGTCTTTTGTTTGAAAATCATGTGTTCGAATATCAAGAACTCGAAGAATTTATTAGGTATATGAATATGTATATTAGAAATGTCAATATTCGAAATAATCGAAAACTGAAATTAAACCAAAATAACACTATAATTACGTTTTCATAATTGGATTTCACTCAATATAATATCTTTATTAAATTTATGCGCTGGTATCATTGAAAAATATATTTTTGAAATTTTTTTTTGTTTATCCGTATATATCAATTCAAAAGTATTGTATACAATAAATTTTGTTTTTGATGTATTATTTTATTTTTTTAATATTTTGTACAATTTGAGTGAGTGATTTTTTTCAATAACTATTATTTTAAATATCAAAATTTAATTACACCCATATCATTACTCATTACTTATTAATAAATTATGTGTTTATTTAGTGCGAAAACGGTTTGAATAAATTACAAGAGTATGATATAATTTAGTATTTTGAGATTACAAACTTAAAAATTTAAAAACAATTGCAAAGTTTAAATCTGAGCAGTATTTTTAATGTATCACATTGGTTATATTGGAATAGTAATATATACATATAACGTATAGGTACCTAAATGTTTTGTTACTTATATAATACATAGTGATAGTACATACGACATTCAATACACCAGATAATGGTGACAGGCAGAGAGTGTCCATCATAACGGGTCGTTGCGACACACCGCCAGAATTTCAATAATAATAAAAACGAAAAAAAAAAAAAATTGTAAAATAGCGGGAACACTAGGTTTACGATAAGCAGGTTTGTTGTGTAAAATGTTTCGGAAAGAGAAGTAGTTAAATGCATCTGTCGATCGACTCTATCTCTAAGAAAACCGGTGTTCGTTAAACATTAAACAATACTACAATTATTATTACTATTATAGTGCAATATACACATATTTTAGATTATTATTTATTATTTATTAATTATTAAACGTTATATTAATATTATATAATAATCGTAAACGTACTTAAATGATTGAATATCAATAACGACAGTAGTCGGTAAATATCAAATGTGCTAATGTGTATTCTAAATTTCTTCGAAAACTGATTTGTATATGTAGACAGGTTTTTATTGTTCTGTGCTTACGGTTTTCAATTTGTAAGAAATAAATGTATTACAATATAAATGTAATATAATATATATATTTTACACCTAACACAATTTGTTTGAATAGATTTTGGTGATTCTACTGATGTCTGATTCAAGATCGAGAGGTACGTAACATTCATCGTATACTCCATTATTATAGTTCATGGTGTTCATAAGAACATTATAGCTTGGCAGTTTGGCAACACTGCAATCATTCAAGAGATAAAATATGTTGAAAATGATAAAATGATATAATTTTCGTGCAATTTTTTACATTTTAAAAAGTAAATAAATAATAATGGTTTATTTTTGTTTTAAGTTACCTAAATCATACTAATGTATAGTTTTTCAAACTATCCTGCTACCAAAATTTATTTCATTGATGACGTGTTGTAGTAAAACCGTTTGTAAGTATATTTAGCGTTCTTAGTTAAGTTTTCTAGAATTTCAATTGGTTTTTGTTTTTTGTTTGTTCACAGTTCTACAGAATTCTACTATTAGATAATGGCAAGTGTCAGGGACAGCGACATATCATTATGGTTGCACAACAAATTGGGCACGACCAGCGACACATGGATTAGTGGCTCGATATGCACACAATTAACGTCCGATGTGTTGCGTAATATAAAAGATTGCTTCCCCGATCTACAGACTCAAGTAAAACTTAAACTGTTACTATCATTTTTTCATATTCCAAGAAGAAATATTGCAGAAGTAATGATTGATTGACTGTGTAGTATGTGATTTTTTCTAAACCATGTTTGTTTTATATATAGTGGCGAACAGAGCTCGAAGAGATCTTAGAAGTCGCATGTGTAGATAGTGAACAATGGGTATCCATGTTAGCCGAAATGATGAAAACATTCCCATCGACCGGTAGTCTTAATGTAACAGAATTTTTTCATAATGAAGATAATAACAGAATATTCAATGATTTAATTACAGATTTAAAAAAATTAGGTATGCGTTTATACAATTCATCTTTAATTCTAATTTAAAACTAAGTTATGACATTTATATTATACATTTTATGTTTCTGTAGTACGAAAAAATATGGATTACACAATGTTGCCTTTAGAATGTCTTTATTTGAACAAAAATGCTCTAATTAATGTTGTAGGCCAACCGGTAAGTTATCATTTAAGTACAAATTATTAAATCAATATTACTTAATTCCAGCATATAACCATCAAATAGTATTATTATTAAGTTATTTGTCATTTATCAGCATTATTAATACAGTTGTACATTTATAATGTAATTTTAATGTATTATAAATTTTAATTAAGAGGCTATCAGTAGCATAATTATTAATTTTACATTATTTGGTGAAATTCTAACCTATAATTAATATAAAAAAAAAAAAATAGATTACATTACTTACTTAATTTTTTACATATTATGGGTAGTAGTTATTGAAAGTATAGAATCATGATTCAAATTCATACTATTTCATTAATAAATTATGCTACTGCTTGAAATCGTAGTAAATACCTAACCTCTAAGTTTTTACTCATAACTACTGTATTCAGTTTTTTTTTAAAAGGTATTTCTTTAGTTATTTTCCAAAAATTATTTTTGCTCACACCACTAACTAAATCAATTTCAATATTTTGATTATTTTAAATCTTTTGATTAATTATGAATAATATTGTTTTTGGCTATAGCCTACTGCAATAAAACATTTTAACTTAAAACGAAAACCTAAAGCAGCAGCTATTAAAGCTGAACTTTTACAAAAAGCGGCTGATGTTGCTAATCATATTAAGAAGCATGCAGCTCCCACTGTTCCAGTACGATCGAGAGGCATGCCTCGTAAAATGACTGATACAAGTAATTTTATATTGCTATTAGCTATTGGCTTATTAATATTATTCCTATTAAATATTTATTATATTTGCAGCTCCTTTAAAAGGTATACCAAGCCGCTCATTACCTAGTGGTGGATTTCGTTCTAATCCTATTAATAGTGCTATGGCAACTCCCGCAAGACCAGGAGTGCGTAAAGACTGTGGTATTAAAATATTAGAAATAACTGAGCAGCCTATAGGTTATGCTCAAGCTAAAAAGCGTAAGAAGGCTGGTGAGTTATTTTGTCAATTTAATTTTATTAAAGATGATTAATAGTTTATGGCTTCCTTCAGAAATGGAAGAAAATAAACGTCTTTTGGAAGCTAACAATGTATCAACTTCTGGAACAACTTGTCAGCCAATTACTAAAACTGAAGTTACATCCACAACACCAGACTATGCTGCTGGCTTAGCTCCTCTAAACCCACCAACTCCAGCACCATCTACACCTCAACACGTACCTAGTTATATAGCACCTGCTACGCCTATACCAGCAGAACCTTTAAATGAGCCTGCAAGTATGTATGACTGTAATAAACATAATAACAGCCTACTTTTTTTAGCATTTGAAAGTATTTTTTTTTGTTTTATGATAAGTTTTATCAGTGAGTATTGAATGTTTTAAGCACACTAAATAAATAAAATACTCTCTTTTTTATGTTCAGATAGTTATTAAAACAACTAATCTTACCTAAATAGGTCAATAATATCAACTTAAAATTTTTCTGTTGTTAAATCTTAATTATTTTAAATTAATTGAATAGTATTTTTGTTTTACTTGTTTGTTGTTGTTTTTTTGTTTTATAAAATGTCATATCATTACTTTTTAATTTAATTTTTAGGTGTTTCAAGTGCTACTCAACCAGAAGCTGAATCTCCGCCTGCTGCTGCTCCCGCTGCTTCAAAAGTTATTCATGTAAGCAGTAAAATTATTTTTTTTTTTTTTTGTTGAATTTATTTACATTTACAGTTTGTTAAAAATACCATGACATTATAAATTTAAAATGTGAACAAATGATGTAATTTGTTGATTTTGAAATGTCATTTTTAAAATTTTTTATATAATTTTAGCCACCTATGGTACAAGTGCGCTCACAAACTGCCCAAGTTGGAGTATCTACAACAACTACTTCAAATACTGCTGCTCCAACACAGCTTTCTCTTACGGTACAATTAACTTTTTTTATAATAAGCTTAATATTATTAATTTTTTCTATTTTAATTACATTTTTTTTGATTTTTCTTCTACAGAGAAGTCAAATGGAAGAAGCACAGGACATGTTTAGAAATGCTAATAAAGTAACTCGTCCTGAAAAAGCATTAATATTAGGATTTATGGCAGGAAGTCGAGGTAATTAAAATTAAATAAAAAAATAAAAATATGTTTACACTTTTACATTGCTTTATTTGTTAATTTAGATAACCCATGTCCTCAATTGGGCAGCCTAGTTACTGTTAAATTGAGTGAAGATCATGAGACTGTATTGCAAAATGACCACACTTTAGTAAACATGCTAGTAGAAACACACTTCCAAATGAATTATAATACAGGCGAATGGAAAAGAATAAAAAAATATATTGAGCTGGAAAGAACAAGTATGCCAGTAGCCAGTAGTCAACTTGCTGCATTAGCAGCTGCTGCCACCGCATTGCAAAATCAATCCTGACCTCACAATTTATGTCGACTGCTCCAAATTGACTTGTTTTTTAGCTGCTTATTGTTAATTAATTTAAAAAAATACCATTTTTCCATCGTACAAAAAAGACATTTGTTTGTATCAAACAGTAAGTTTACATAATGTTTATTCAATGAGATGAAATTTTTTTTATATATATATAACAATCCTAAAATCTACAAATAAATAAATACATTACAAGACTAATGAACGTTATAAATAAATATACCCTAATTTTTAACCTTTATTGTATAACTTTCCAACAACATATTGCTCTTTGGTCATCTGGAGCTTCTTCAAATATTTTGTTACCATCAGGTGTTACATATTTATTAATCTGGTAATCGTGAAGTATTTTATAACCAAATACGTTGGCTCCAAGTTGCTAAAAAAAATACATATATAATAATTATTTATAAACACACATATAATAAATAAATAATTTTAAAATGTATTTTTTCAATTTAATAAATATTTATCCTTTCAATCTTACTTGTGTTAAAGGATTAGTGTTTGTTGTGAATATGCCTTCAAATCTATTGGTTTTTCCCAACTGTAGGACTTCTTGTTCCATGTAAGTTATGACTTCGACATTAGTTGGTGCGTCTAGGTTTTTATCCGTGCCCATCATAAAACTATGCAATATGCTGCCTTTAGTTTTGGGCAGATGTTCTCTCCTGTTCAAAAAATATGATATTACAATAGAAGTACAATAAATTTAAGTTTAACAAAATAAAAATACCTTATGGGACCTTCGAGTGATTCGAGGAACTCAAAAATAACCGTCAAACGGCCGTCATACTTTATGTCAGGCTCGTCTAGAGCGTCGAAATTTAACGCTGCTCCTATTAATTTATTGGACTTTTTGGATTGCACCACAAAACTATGCAAGTATACATCGTTTTTGTTATCATGTAATCATATACAGTTTCAATCGGTTAAAAATATCAAAACTCATTTACCTCAAATTTTTTTCCAACAGTGGCTCCCATAGTAACTCAAGGACGTCGATATACTCGCTGTAGGGTACCTTTGGCTTGATCCAACTTTCGAGATCTGCTTTTTCGTAGAAACTGTCTGCAATTATCCTACAAAAGATGAGGTACACATAAGATACCTATACAAGTATACAACTTTTACCTTCCGTGGACTTATCATCTATAGATATTATGTATAAATAAAATGCTGTTCATTGATAAGTGTATAAAATAAAAACAAATAACCGATTAGGCTCATTAAAAAAAAAAAAAAAAATGTTTGATATAGTCTGAATAAGGATTTTACAAAAAAGAATATTTAAAAAAATGTTCAAAAGACTGAAAGTGTATTTTCTGATGAGATTTTTTATAACGTTTGCCCACAAAGAATTGTTATATTTTGTATCTGATTTGATTTGGCAAACATTATTTTGAGAGTGGTTCACGACAATTTTGTCACCAGTACTCTACACGCATGCCAAATTTTAGCAAATGCACACATATAGTCGTGAGTTCATACAAAAATCTCATCGAAAAGAGCACTTTCAGTTTTTCCAATTTTTTTTTCCGTAAAAACTTCATTTGAATTACTGTGAATATTTAACAAAAAGAGTCCAATCGGTTCTTTCATTCTCAAGTTTTACGCTTACCAACGAACAAGATGTGCGATATTGTAATTAACTAATTAAATACTAATAATTGTAACGTAATATATATTATGATAAATTCGTACTTGAATAAGTCGTCTTTGTGTTTGGGTTCAAGCATTTGCCTTGTATATTTTTTAGAGAGCCATTCCTCGTCATCACAGCATGCCTTTCGTTTACCACTAAATTTTATTTTGTCAATAACGACACCAAAATTGGGCGCTGTTATAAAATCACTGACGGCTATAAAAATAAACATATGTATTACTGTAATAGTAATTTAAGTAAATATTTTCATAGTCTGAATCGCATTACGTTTCTAAATTTCTTATGAAGTTTCATCTTTTTACTTTAGATATTATGTGGGTATTCTAGGTTTCTGGTTTGATGTACATGTTACATGTAATACATATAGGTAGTTTAATAACCAAATTTCGATAATGTTTGTTGAAGTTTAGAGTCAAATAAAGAGGTAATATTTTATAATATATTACTAATGGTTATAGGAACTTTCCTAAAAATTTAATTTAATAAGTACCTACCTAGTTATTATTTTAATTTATATAGAAAGCACGTACTTGAAATTAAGACGCTAAGTACTTAAGTGCATACATAAAAAAGAACTGATTAAGCTAAAAGTTAATTAAAACAAAATAAAGAATTTTATATGTAGGTAACTTAATTATAAAATTAATTTATCATTTTTTAACTTGGTTTTAAATCTTAATAATCATGGTTGTATCAGATTTTCTAATTTTTCTATGGACATATAAGTATCTATATCGTACCTATGTATTTTAAATTATTGGCTAGGTACATATTATAAACTAACTTTTTAGAACTCAAACAGACGTTTCAAACTGACCTGAACATTTAAATGATAGTTAAGTTTATTTTAACACGCGATCAACCAATCATAATTCACAGAATTAACAGGAACTTGTGCTATAAAGTTGTAGTTCTAACTTATAAGAAATCTAGAAACGTCAACTCAAACTATCAAATTGTGGTTTTAATGATCAATACGTCATTAGAATTGATCTCTGATTGTCAAGATGATCTACATATTCGGATGGAGAATTAGGGAAATAGAGTTGGAGAAGCTGTTATGAATCACCCGGAACGCGTGTTAACAGATTGAACTTGGATTCTATAATCCGTATGCGTTAACGCATGCGCAATAAATCAACCATGAATCAGTTAAAGTAGTTTAACGTTTAACTACTAGTTCCAAATTTCACATTAAAATAAATTGAATTTAAAACCATTAGGTGTTTGGTGTTTAAATTGTGTGATTATTTTTAAGCTGTTTTTGTTTTCAAATCCTACTTACAGTTTATTATAAATAAAAAATTATTTATTGTACCTACATTACTTTTACAGTTGTAGAAATTGAAATTTTGCAATAATAAAGATTATTTTTAATAAAATAAAATCATTTGAACTGTGTAGGTACTTCTTATAATAAAATCAATAAATATTATTTTCATCGTGATGCTCTCACCTATAAAATAACCTTGGTCTGCTAGTTTACTTATGGTGTAAATGGCGTTCAGCGAGTTTCCACCGAGTGCGAAAAAGTTTGCGGTCTGAGAGATGTGTGACCGCAGTGAACTTCCTAGCACGCTGGATATGGTCTCAAATAGGAATTTAGCAGTTTCCATTTGGCTTGCATCGATGCCAGTAAAGTCAATTTTCGATTTCTTGCAAATTCCCGAGACTGCACATTCAAAACATTTTGTTGTAAATCAACAAAAATTCCAAAATATCACAATAATTATAAATATAAATATTTTATAAGTCCATTGTAAAATCTTTATTGATGCGTGAGTAAATGTGGTAGGTAGGTATTTGGGTATATAGCGACTTTTGTCCCCTGCAACAAGGTTCTTGAACAAATTGATGTTAATTTAACGAGTTAACGTATTTGTGGGCATCATTGTAAAAATTAATTTTTCAATTTACCAATTTATTATTTTATTTATTTATTTAATTGGAAAATTTTTATCTCTTTCAAAAAATATATACACGTAGATACTTTTATTGTTATTCTTTTAAAAGGCTTATAAAACCTAAATACCTACCAAATTTTGCAAACCCCGCTGCAGTATATTCGTTAAAATTAAACTCAACAGTTATCTTGGAGACAAACGACAAACACTTACCAGCTATTTCAGAGTATTGGCGCAATAACGTCTGTCTGTCGATTTTTCCGTTCACGAGATACGGCATGGATTTGAGTGAAACTACCTAAATCAACAATGTGCAAGTTTAACAAATAATAAATAATAATTAAAATTTTAAGGGGCTGTCGTTGATAATACGTGTCATTGTGTCAACGATATTTTCCATGATAAGTACGTACTTGAGGCAGAGCGTATTCCGGCAATATGTTTTTCAGTCGATCTTCTACGTCTGTAGCTGTCATTTTGGAATTACTATCGAACACGACGAACGCCAATAAAGCCTATGTATAAAATAAATAAAATTATTACCTTCGTATCATCATTATTGATCGTCTTAAAGGTCACTTAATATCATCATTATTATCGTAGTATCATATAGTCCGTGTAAGTATATAGGTATTAAACTAAAATTAATTTATGGCAAACTAACAACGGATTTTGTATAAATATTTATGCATTTACATAAAATATTTCACTGTTGAAGTTTCATAAACTATACTTATCGAAAAATAGATAGGTACTATAATATATATATAGGTTTCGTTGTAATTTTGTAATGTTATCCAGATTAATTTTACTAAAATAAAATAAAATTTTATAACTGTGCAATAATATCACCCAAATATCTATAATTATAAAATTTGCATAACTTTATATCTATAATCTTAGAATCAATTCGTTAGAAATTAAAAACTCTAAATCAGAAAGCTACATTGCTGATAATAAGTATTTTCTGTTCATGAAACAATAAAAAAAAGCACTGGAAGTCATTCAAATATTTTCGAGACAATAGAAAATATTATTAAAAAAGATATGTAATGTATTCAATGCTGTGACATTTTTTTTAACTCATAGAAAATCTTTTGGATAATATTAGTTGTTAAATAATTACCTTTAGTCTATATTAATCATACAATAACGAACTGTTATCATAAATTTTTATAGATTATGTATAGATTGTATAATGGATACATAAATAATTATAATATTAATAGTTAGTTATATATTATTTACCTACTTCCTAATTTGTTATGCACATAGACGTGGGTAGGCAGAAGCGGATTTAAGGCACTGCGAAATATGCAGCCGCATAGGGTTGCAAATTTTTGGAGGGCAGCTTTTTATACGCAAAAAATTGTATTTAATATTTATTTTGTTCTTGTATAAAAAATCACTTAATTTTTTTTCTTAAATTTTTCAATTTCAAAATAAATAATTAACATTAAAACTACTTATATAACCAAATAATTAATTAATTTATTTATTATTACCTTTTTCTTGTATAATAAAAATGAAGAAAGAATATTATGTTTGAATCAAAACGTTTTTTATTGAATCAATCTTAGTTAAATGAAAAAATAATTGCATAATACATAGAAAATGTTATTGTGTTAGAA